AAAAATTACTGAAAACTAAAGTCACGTGTGGCAGTGACAGAGTTAAGGGCATGATAGCTGGGGAGAAAAGTTCTGCTATGCCCCCCTTCCCTTACTTTGCTTAATGGTTAATCCTGGGATGGTCTGAAGTTAACTTCCCAGCGCCAGAAGGAGCCACACTGCAGTGGCCTCTTGCTGCAGATGAAATCATTGTGATCTGCTGATCATCTACAGCGTTTTGATTTCCAGTGTCTGAGACAATCCCCGCGTGTAACAATGTACTTATCCCTGATCATTTATTTGAGGTAGAGCTCAGCTATCAAAAAGTTGCTGTAAAATAAATGGGAAGCCAGCTTAGATCTCTTGTGCCCAGCAGGATCAATCCGTCCATCGGCAGGAAATAATCTGTCAAAACAAACATCCAGGTCATCGGAATTCAGAAATGAATGCCAAGCACCGAAGTCTGTCAGCCTCCAGCAACGATGCTAAATGGGTCCAGACGTGAAATGATAACACTGCACGAGGTTATCACCTCACGGAAGGGACTGGAATCAGTGATGAGAAGAAAGTAGAAGACGTTTAAAAAGGGAGAGTATGCAGCTTGACCCAAGTGGAGGGAATGCAGGAAATTTAATTTTATCATTGCAGCCAAGATGACAATTGTAGGATATTAGGCTTGGTAGTGAAAGGCCTTGGTTTAAATTTAGCCCATATAAAACAAGACATGTCGTTTCATGTTTTATTGTAAAAGATGATAGAAGAGGCCAGGAGCTGAACTGGATTATCCTGATTTTTCATCCTTCTTTCATGGACTATATATAGGTGAATATCCCCAGCCTAGCTTTTAGAGCGAGTATCATGACCACCGCGGGCATGCCTCTGAAGTCCTTCTGATGCTCGACCTGGCAAGATGCTTGCTGCAGACGGGACGGGTCACTGAGCAGCGGGAGGCAGGCAGGTCCATGACCACCCTTCCTGTCTCCATTTCTGTTCCTCTTTCTTAGTTGTGTCTTCTCTACTTGGTTGAGAAGACCCAGATTCAGTGCCACTAAAAAAGCTCAACCAATTACCTGTTGTGTTCCTTCACCCCTTTCTAGGGGGAAAATGAAGATTCTGGTTGTAATTACAGCTTTGTCACCACGCTTTTTAAAGAAAAGAGAAAACAACATGCCTGGATGAGGGAAACTGTGTGTGTGAATGAGTGAGAGGGAGAGAGAGAGAATGGGAGAGGGAAAGGGAGAACAGCTCATTTGCTTGTTTGCTTTTTAAAATTTGGTAACACCCTCAGTAGATTGTGGGAATGCTATAGATACAATATATCTTGATTTTAACCAAGCATTTCATGGAGTACATGACATTTTAATTACCAAACTAGTTAAGTGGGGGCTAGATGGCATTACAATTCAGTGGATCCAGAGCTAACTTGAAAAACCATACACAAGGAGTGTTCAGCATCAGTTCCCCAAACTGGAGAGAGGAGTCAAGTTGGATGTCACAGAATTCAGCCCTGATTCTGGTAGTCTTCAACCTTTCACTAAGGACTGGGTGAAAAGATGGAGGAAATGCTTATTGTATCTGTAGATGACATATAGCTGGGTGGGATAGAAAGTACTCTAGAACAGGGTTCCTCAACCTTGGTGACTTGAAGATGCGTGGGGAATTCTGGGAATTGAAGTCCACACATCTTCAAGTCACCAAGGTTGAGGAACCCTGCTCTAGAAGACAGAAACAAGTAAGAAGGGTGGGGCGGGAATATTAAACTGAAATTTAATGAAGGCAAATGCAAAATTCTTTATTTAGGAAAAATAAATCTAAGGCATTGATATAGGTTGGGCAATCTCTAGCATGGAAATAATTTATGTAAAATGTATCTTAGAACAGTATTTGATCCCAAGCTGAGTTTAAGTCAGCTGTATGAAGTAGCTACAAAAAAGATGAATACAATTTTAAGTTGCATAGGAGTCCAGCTTGGATATTCCAGGAAACAGTTATTCTACAGTAGTTTGTACTGATCAGCCACCTTGGCTGCAATCTGAATACAGGGTCAGTTCAGGGCATCGCATTTTAGACCCTATTTTAAGTCTTGAAACAAGGTGAGTAGAAGGGGAAATATAATAGCAATTGAATAACTAAAAGGTTATTTTAAAGGAGAAGGTTTAGTCCTGTTCCCTCCTCTGTCACAATTCAGGATGCAGAATAATGGTCTTCTATTACAGGAAGGCAGATTATGGCTGAATGCTAGGAAAACCTCCTCGTGGTAAGAGCAGCTGAAAGTAGAACCACCAACCAGGAAGTGGTGTGTTCCCTTCCCTGGATGTGTTCAATAGAAGCTGAACAGCCATCGGTTAGAGAGAGGTTGGACTTGGATTTCTACAATACTTTGGATTTCCACACTGAGCAGGGGTTGGATTGCACCAAGGCTTCCAAACTCTGGGTGACCGCTAAAGGGGAGCAAAGCGGTACCCCACGTTCTAACTCTTTGCTACTTTCCAGGAGTTGCCCAGGTTCTGCAGCCCAGATAGCTAATTCAGAGGCCTCCTCAAGGGCCCCTTCCAACTCTAACATTTGGGAGGAGGGTACTTGAATGTAGCCTTCCCCAACACAGTCCTGCTAGATGTGTTTGACTACAGTTCCCATAACTGAGGATGGTGAGCAGTGTAGTCCAAGATAGCTTTCGAGTACCAGATTGGGCAAGATTGAACTAAAAGGTGGGTAGAGTGCAGATGGTGGAGAAGTCAGCATTTCTCTGAAGTGCAGACGAAGGCTTTTGAATCCCTCTCACCTCCCTTATGTGGCCCATCCTGAGGAAGTCTGATGCTCCTCTCGTCAGCGCACAGGAGACTGAATGGCCCCCACAAGTGCAGTCAAAATTCAAGAATGCAGGGAGCGCAAAGCCAAGCAGCTGCATCCAGAGGGAGGGTCAGGACGGGGAGGGGAACAGCAGGACGAGGGCAATGTCATGCCGGCATGATGCAAACTCCCACCCCTTTGGCACATGGGTCATAGCAGCATACAGACACACATGTACGCACATGGGGTAGAGCTTTTGCCAGAGCTTGCAGACCCCCATGTTGCTAAACTGCTGCAAGACAGCATCAGGTCCAGTCTGGCCAAGAGCCTTCAAACTGGGAAGAGCGGAGCTAAGATGGGGTGGGGAATCCCTCTTTTCCTCCTTCCAGGGGCTCACCAGGAGCAGGATCTGTTGGGAACTCAGCCAGTTGCCTCTTTAAGGCTCCAAAAGACTATGTCTTTCTTCAGGTTTGCACTTGTGTTTTTGGTTCTCCTCTGTAGGATGATCACTCTCAAAGGAGTCTGACAATCCTACGGAGAAAAACAAACACAACTCCCACCCCCGCTCTGCCACACGTTCAAGAGACTGATTGGTGGTGGGTTTGTTTTCTCACCGGTGGTGACCTTGAGCGTGAAGGGAAAGGATGGCAGGGAATCCACCAGCTACCGCCCTGAAACCATCCTTCATTAACAACTGCAAGGGCACCAGCGTTGCAATTTACGTGGCCGGACATTCCTGCCAAATCAAGGACAGGAGGAAAGCACATGATGGCAGCTGTCTGGATGAGTCCCATCATTCCAGAACCCCCAGGTGCACGTGTATAAATGCAGGCAGCTTCCCTGCTCCTCTGCATTGGTTTTCTGGATGTTGTGCTTCCACCTCACTTTGTAGTCTAACAGCTACTTCAGGAGAGCAGCACTTTCACCAGAATGACTCTTGATGGGTCAAGACACGGCAAAAGAACCCACCTCTGTTTCCCATCACTGTAAACACTTCCCAGCACCCTGGACCATCTCCAGCAAGAAGGAACGTGCACATGGTACCTTCCAAGGATCCATCTGTTGCTTGTCTCATAAAGCAACAGCTTATAGGGGATAAAACCAGGAGGCTGGTGATCACATGACTCCTTAACTCCTGTTGCCTCTTCTGGAGGATAAAGCTTGGCAGAGTTTCTGGCAAGTTTCCTTGGCTCAGAGATTTAAGCAAAGGCTTTTAGCTGAAGCCAGTTCTTTGGAGGGTAGATTCTGGCTTTTGAAGAAGCTGGATCAAAGCTATGACCCAGATGTAGAATAATGGGATTTATGGAGTGGTCTTGGATTAATTTCTGCCTGATTCCCAAATTCTTTGTAGGAAGGGAGGAAATCCCTGCCTGGTGGACCCTAAGGCAACCTGCAAGACCCTTGCCAACAAAACACCAGCTAAAGTGCTTAAAGGGAGCAGCCCCCCTCCCTATTTGTACCAGCCTTCCCCGCTAGAGCATTTCTGCTGCCACCACCTGTTTATCAGCACTTCATTCATGCTGGTGGGACTTGCTGTGCCCCAAGCCATGGACAAAGACCACAAAGAAAACCTCATCAAGCTCCGGAGGCTTGCATGCAAACGCTGGAAAAGAGAGGAGGGGAAGCCAGCCCCTGAAGGAGGTCTGCCTGCCAGATTGATGGATAAGCAGCTCCCAGTGATGGCTCTGGAACTGCTTCCTTGCATCTCTCTCTCTCTCTCTCTTCCCCCCTTGTATCTGGCATTGGAAAGAAGTTGCTAAGAATCCTCCACTGATCGTGTTGCTTAGCATAACATCTGGCACAGCCTGCAAATATACCTAAGGCAGAGAAGACCTCTATCCTCCAGCTCACTCTGGCTTCCGAGCAGGACATGGAAGGAGAAAACCTGGGAAAGAACTTGTTTGCTCCCGAGCCCTTCCTTCTTCACTTACGGCTTTAATTGCTCAGGGCAAGTGACCAGCCAGGAGGAACTGAAAGCAAACTCTACATTTTCGAAGAACTCCAGGGAGACAGGAAGCAGGTGAATCTAGTGGAAGAAAAAAAGCAGACGGTAACTCTAGGTACTTGGGGGAAAGGAACAATCGCGTTTCCAGCCTGCAGTTGCAAAAACTGGAGGATAGTTTCAGACAAGGGCGAGCGCTAAAAGGAGTGAAGTTGAAAGAAGGGGAAGATCACTCCAGAAGTTTTCCTTTTCTGTTGCATATTCTTCTCCTGCTGGGATTCTCCCAGCCATGAACAGGCACATGTGGCTATCTTCCCCATACATCTCCAGATCATTCCGCTGGGCAGGGAAACCCAACGGCACCAACTTCTTGTCCATCCTCTTTCCATTCCACAATCGATCCTCCTTCCATGAGGACCTGGATGTGGACCACATGGGAGATTTTGAGAGTGGCACCCGTTACGAAGGGGAATCGCAAAGCCGGATGGTGAAAGCTCTCCTGATTGTGGCTTATTCGGTCATTATTTGCATCTCGCTTTTTGGCAACATTGTGGTATGCCATGTGGTGGTCAAGAACAAGAGGATGCATTCAGCAACAAGCCTTTTTATTGTCAACTTGGCTGTAGCCGATATCATGATCACCCTCCTGAACACGCCCTTCACACTGGTAAGCAACCCTGGTCCCACAATTAACTTCTTAAAGAGGGAGCCCAATGCAGATTCTTCTACTGTAAGACCAGTTCTATGGGCCAATCCCTGGGGCTCAGGATTCCCAAGAGAAAGGTCTAGGAGAACTGCAGAGGATTTGGTGTCCTTCCTTCCTTTTTACCTAAGGCACTAGGATTTAAAGCTTGGGAAAAAGTGCGTTAGCTCTGAGAAATTGTTTCATTTGCCAGAGTTCTTCCTTTTCAGTTCTATATGAGATCTGAAAAGATGTAGCCCTGAGACATGGCTTGAAAAATGTTGATGCTCAATTCCTTCTGGATTTATCTTGTTTTGTTTTGCTCGAGTCCATGATCCAGCCCATCTCATTATACTCCCAAATGTACCATTAACAGAACAGAGAGGAATGGATGAGAAAGAAAGTTTGAAGTGGGGGAAGGACCTTCAAACTTGAAGCTGAGGTGTGTTTCCCTGCTGGGAATGATGGGGCTTAAAGTCCTACACACTTGGAGGTCACTAGGCTGTGCAAGGCTGCTCCAGGCATCTTCTTTGCAAACATAGCGCCATGCTGGAGCCATTGCCAAAACATTTGCCCGCAGGGGAGTTCTCCTTCCAACCCCCCTGACCAGAAACTTCCCCACAGTTTGGGTTGCCCTCTTGTTCCTTCTTTTGAGCGCTGGCACGGTTGACTTGAGTAAGGCTGGTGGTCTCTGCATAGACCTGTCCGTGCACTGCAGGCTGAAATGGTATCCTAAACATGTCACGAGCATTTACTTCTAAACGTTTGAGCTTTCCACACACCCAACACCCAGGTGCAAAAAAACAACTTGCTCTGTTCACGTGGCACACTCTGCCGGAACAAATGCATTCTTCATTATGGTCCGATTCATGTGGCATGTGATCAATCCATGTTCAATAATTCAATCAATCAATAGGTGGGTTTTTCAGAATCCGTTGTATTACAAACTATCCATTTTAGCCTAGTCCAACTAATTCAGCCAGCAGATGATTTTAGATCAGCCGCTCTCTCCCAGCCTCACCTACCCCATAAGTCTGTTGTGAGGATTCTGTAACGTCAAGGGCAGGCGCATGTTCGCTGCCTCGATTCCATTGGAGGAGAGGAATGGAGTAGCCCTGTTAGTCTGTGTTAGGTCTGACTCTGTACACAGCCCAACATTCTCTTCTAGGTGCGATTTGTCAGCAGCACGTGGATTTTTGGAAAACTGATGTGCCACGTTAGTCGCTTTGTCCAGTACTGCTCTGTCCACGTGTCCGTACTGACCCTTGCCGCTATTGCTCTGGACCGCCACCAGGTAAGGGAATCTGGATTCTCTTCCAGGAACCATTTTAAAAATCTCTGTTCTATTCAAAAAACCTTACAATAATATGCCCTTTTAAAAAATTAACTATAATGTAAAAACTAAGCAGCATAATAATGTAGCTATATTTCTATTTTACAATAAAACAATATGGCTTAGAATAGATACATACTCAAATATATAGAAATATATATAGAAATAAGGGAAAGAAAAAAAGGAAAGGACTATATTAGACTACTTAAAAAAAAAAAAAAACAGAACAGAAACAAAAAATAACCTCCCCTCAAAAAGTGAAAAAACTTCTATGCTAAACTAAAACATTAAAATATCTAAATTTCTAATTCATTTCCATTGGGAGGGAGGAGAAGGAGAAGGAGAAGGAGAAGGAGAAGGAGAAGGAGAAGGAGAAGGAGAAGGAGAAGGAGAAGGAGAAGGAGGAGGGAAGGGGAAGGAAGGAAGGAAGGAAGAAAAGACATAGGAAGGAAGGACCTTGGATTGCTAAGATTACATGACTTTCTTCAACTTTTTTGTGATTCCACTTCTAAGCAATGACTTGAACTTAGACCATGCAGAATTATATTGTCTGATCTTGCCTCTTTATTGGTACAAAACTCCAGCTTAGTTCTGCACTAAGAGAATGTCATGTTCTGCAGCTGGAATAAATGATGCGGCTTACAAGCCCGGGGAAGGGAAGACATCTCATGTCAGATATCAGGAGATGCTGATTATTATTAGAAGCAGCTAATTCACCAAGGCTGAAATGAACTGGCCCTGAAGCTTTGACCATCAGAGCTCAGGGGCAGCCAAAAGGGAGGTCAAAAAGGTCAAAGTCATACACACAACCATGAATTGTATACACCCTTTTTGTGCTACCTTCTTGACCAGTTGGGTGCTTGAGGAGGATTCAAAGCCTGCTTAACTCTGACTCTTTTCAGGTTATAATGCATCCCTTGAAACCCCGAATGTCTGTTGTGAAAGGAGGGATCTGCATCTTGATAATATGGGTGATGGCCAGTTGCTTCTCTCTGCCCCACGCCATCTACCAGAAGCTCATGAGGTTTCCTTACGGGTAAGATTGGTCAAGATCACCAAGGATCGCCAAGCTGCCACAAGGTGAAAAGGAAAATGACGAACTCGTAGAACAGGGAACTGGGGAGGGGTCAAAATCTGCAGAATGGCATGCTGAGCATCAGGACCGAAGCCCCTCCCTTTTGTATGTGATGCACGTCCAGATTCTAAAGGGGAGACGCTTTTACAGTGACACTGCGCTTGCCACTGTGCAGATTTTGACACACGCCCTTCTGACACGCAGGCACTTCTTGCCTGTCATGCAAAGTGGCACGTATGATTCTGTGTTGTGACTCGTATTTCCTAGACTGTATGCATGTATATATGAGAGAGAGTTTGGGGTAGTGGTTAAGGCACCAGGCTAGAAACCAGGGGACTCCGAGTTCTAGTCCTGCTTTAGGCATGAAGCTGGGTGGGTGACCCTGGGCCAGTCCCTCTCTCTCAGCCCCCAGAAGGAGGCAAGCCACGTGAGAAAATCTTGCCAAGAAAATTGCAGGGATGAGCCCAGGTACTCACCAAGAGTCAAGACTGATGCAAAGGCGTGCGCACACACACACACACACACACACAAAGTATCTGTATATACACATTTATATATTTAAATTTATTTGAAATGGTTTAATAGTCAAAATTAAAACCAATAATGTTAAGATATGTATATTAAAGGATGGGAAAATAAAGGCAAAATCTGCATTACTATACACACATCATTGCTTCATAGTTGGCATGTGCATGTTTCAAAATAATTTGGAAATGAACGCAATTGCCCCTCCACTATTTACTACAGTAGCTGACTTTTTGCAAGCTTCTGAGCAAACTTGAAAGAAAGATGACCCTGCTTTAAGGAATTCAGTCATTAAAGACTTTTTCGCCAGCAGCTTTTTTTCTAGGCTTCTGCTGCATTCATACAGGGTCCAAAAGCATTTCTTCCAAATATTCTGCAAAGCATGCACAGCTCCATTTTATCCTGACAGATTCCAGGCTGAGATACAATCAGTAAAAACTATTAAAAATCAAGCAATACAATTAACTGTTTGGCTCATTGACTGAAATAAGGTGTGACTGACAATTTAAAAAATAGTCGTATCTAAATACCAATATCTCTGTTTTAAAAAATTGCTCTTGTCTCTATTAACTTCTTGCGTCAAATAATTTTGGCCAAAATCCTTGCAAACAGGATACTTGCCTTCCAGTGTGTTACCAATTGTGTCTGAAATCTATTCTCAGTGTCTTGTCTGACTAGTCTGAACTGGTGGGCTGATGAAAGATGGGCTGCAGAAAGAAAATGAGAAAAGACACAAAGAAGAACTGATCACCTCCACTCCTGTGCAGGAATGGACCTTTCAAGGTGCACCTTCTTCCACTGCCGATTGTTTTCTCTTCTGTGTTCCAGAAATAGAACAATCCGAATGGTGTGCCTTTCCAGCTTCCCTCCTCCGACAGACCTCTACTGGAAGTATCTGGATTTGACCACCTTTGTACTCCTGTACGTTCTGCCTTTGTCAGTGATCTCTGTCACTTACACAATGGTTGCCAAGAAACTCTGGATGAGGAACGCCATTGGCGATGTGACCATGGAGCAATACTATGCCCATCAGCGGAAAAAGAAGATGACCCTGAAGATGTTGATGGTAGTCGTGGTGGTTTTTGCCGTCTGCTGGTTCCCCTTGAATTGCTACTTGATCCTCATGTCCAGCCAAGCCATCCATAGCAACAATGCCCTTTACTTTGCGTTCCATTGGTTTGCAATGAGTAGCGCCTGCTACAACCCCTTCATCTACTGCTGGCTGAATGAAGGCTTCCGCTCAGAACTCAAGGCCCTGCTGGGCGTGTGCTGCAGGAAGGAGGCTTCCAGGGACCATGCCTTGCAGTCCATATCGGCTCACTTCAGGCATGCCTGGGATGAGAATTACTCCTGCAAACAAGATGCCACCACTCAGCAGACGAGAGAGACTTCTCACAGAAACTCTGCACGGACAGATATCTCCATTGTCCACCCCATCATAACAGGCAGCTAAGAGGAGACTTGAATGCAGAATGATCCAGCATTACTCTGGTTTAGCAACAATTCCATAGTCAGGTCAGCTACTGTTCAGGCCTTTCAGAACCCAGATCTTGTGCTTTGTGACAAGAACTTATTCACACCAGTGTTGCATGAGGTGGACATCGCTTTCGGTTGCTGCTTTCCATGAGCGACGGAGAGATCACCTGGGTGGAAAAAGTACAGTCCAAAAGCTTACTTTGGAGCCTTGACATCAGTTTTGATACCTTCATAGTCTGAAGCCCAAAGATCTTGGTGAATACATCCGAACCTAGACCATCAGCATCAGGCTTGCTTGTAAGTGTTTAATGAGTCATTATTTCTACAGAAAATCACCTGCAGACAAAAGCAGCGTAGATAAATATTGGGCAGAAGAAGAGGAAGGCTTTCACTGTGCTTTGCCTAGAGGAAGGCTGCCGATCTGACCACCATCTGCAACTGAAATAATGCCCCTCTAAATCAAGCTGGGTAGTTTCACAGGTCTCAGCATGGACAGAATTTACTTTCAGGCAAGGAGAGGTAGCCTCTTGATGCTGGGAATGCACTTAATTATTTTTAGCCAAACTCCCAGTGGCAGGAGAAGGAGGAAAAGGAAGCAACTCTGTATCTTTACAGAGGCAAGGCTGGGATTTTTCATCCACTTGGGGGTTTTTGAGCAATGATTTCAGTCTCAAAATGATGGGAACTACTGTGTAACTCAAATCTGGTGGTGCTTTTGGAAAAGCTAAGGGGGCCACAAGAAAGGATACAGAGCAGGGATGTTCACAGGGTGTGGTCAAAAATTCAAGATGACAGCCATGATGGTGCAATCAAAGCTCCATCTGATCTTTATGTGCATCACAGGTGCAATACACACAAAAAATGGGCAGAGCTTTGATCACGCTGTCATGGCCGCCATCTTGAATATTTTACCGTACCCTGCCCTGGGACCACATGCTCACCAATCAAAATTTTAGATGTAGCAAAGGAAATCCCACTCCTATGCCTTCTGCCATTTCTTGTATGGCTGAAGACATGAGCTCCCCAAATCCCAAGAGCTGAGACATGGGTAGAACTAAAGATTGCAGAGGAAGGAAAATGAAGGCCCCTAAAGTACACGAGGTGGTCTTCCCTCCCAAAGAGTGGAACTCTGTGCCAGCACCATACAAAGGACTAGAAGCTTGCTCCCTCTGCGCTGTGAAAGTGGAGCACCTCCCTCCCAGGCGAGACAGCCTAGTTCTGCAAGGTGAACCACCACGCTGTGGGTCAGAAGGATATTTCTGGACCAGAACGTGCCCACCTCCTGAGCCAAGAGTGCGCGCATGGAGAAGCCTCGGCAGCACTGGAACAGGCTCATCAAGCCAGAGTGGGGATCAGCGGTGGGAGACGGACCCTCCCTTTAACAGCTGCGTTAGTTACCTCCTCATTGCTGAGGATGCAGAAGCCCTTCACGCTGATGTGGCCAAAAGAGGGTCTGAGAAAGAGGCGCAGAACTTCAGTCTGCAGAAATATTGTGTCAACCAACCACCGCAAGCTTTCTTTTCCACATTCCTCTGACCCTGAGCCAAACTGGGAGAGAACCCTTTGGATCATCCTAGCTGAGCTGTCCTCATGGGACAAACTTCATTCAGAGAAGTTGCACTGTGACCCTGACTTTTGCTACTAAAGCTGGCACCCTTTCCTCAATAAAGCCATTTCAGATTAAGAAACACTCTGCTTATGCTTGCTGCTTCTGCTTCAGTTTGCAGAAAAGACTAATTTGTTTTTAATCTTCACATTCGGTTTTCGGTTATCAGCATTGCATTTAGTACGGGAACCCTGACTCTGTGCCCATTCTGAATCCAGAGTCACTGGGTGTTGGGTGGCATATAAATAATAGTTGTTGTTATTGTTGTTGTTGTTGTTGTTGTTGTTATTATTATTATTATTGCTACTACTACTACTACAACTTGTCCAAGATGGAGGATTAGCAGTCAGTTAAAGTGATGCTTTAACGTGCTTATTTAAGAAACTGACAATATTTTAGGTTGACCATGACTTTTAAAATTCATTAAAGGCTTGTATTTGTATAGGGCTTTCAAATAAATTAAAATGAATATCAGTCAAAACATAATTGACGGATGCTGCACCAGAAAAGCAGCTCGTTTAAGATAGCTTTCGGAACCTGCTGTTTTGCTTCCCCTTCCAACAAAATGATTCCAGCTTCATATAAAGCAATAATTTGCACTCCCTTTGTTTTCTTAACAGATGCCCAATTTTAATCATATTCACTGTATTCAGTCTCAGACATCTATTAATGTGGTCACTAAAACATTTGGACTACCATTAATCTTGATCAAGGCTCTAGATATGTATTAAAATGGCTTCCTCAACTCCGTTGCCCTAGAAAGATCTGTGCTAGGATTGCAGTTGTGGGAATTTGGCCATATTTGCATAGCTGGTGGCCTGGCTGGGAATTCTGAAAGTTGTGGTTCCAGCCCACCTGCTGGTTTCATGAACTGGGGGGAGGTTGTTCTGGAAAACAGCCCCCCCCCCTCCATGGACATGGGGTCCTTTTAGCTGCAAGTAGAAGCCTGAGGATGGACTGAACATGCTGGCTAGGAATTCTGGGAGTTGAAGTCCATACAGCAACTTTAAGATTGAGGAACGCTGGACGAGATAATACATTTGCTGTTGGAGGCAGGGAAAGAGCTGCTGCACTGCTGGCAAAGAGGTGGAAAGAAGAGGTCTTCTTGTGAGAAGAAGAACGAACTTTGGGAAGGAGATGTAACAAGGTAAGGGTTGGCCACCCATGATGAATTCTAGCTAGCTTTGGTTGTTAGAGTTTGTTGAATTTAGGAAAGAGCAATGATGGCTGGCAGATCAAACTGGACTAGGAACCTTCGGAACCGCTGGAAATTTGTTATTCTGGGGCAGCCGGAAAAGCCTCCTGAAGTGGGCCAGGCCAGGCTCCAGAGGAGACCTCCAAGGGACAGATCTATCCAAACAGACGGTCCTCCTCAGAGATCCTGAGGGGCCTGACCCTATTGCCCTTTTGCAAGGCATTAAAGACATGGTTGTTGGGCATTTAGGCCAGGATGGTAAGCGAGCCTTGCTGTTGATTTGGTTGATTGTGGCTATTTTATTGAAAGGGAAGACCTTGGGCATGTGTTATATTGACAGTTTTTGGTTGAATTGTGTTGTGTTGTCTTCTGGGTTTTTCCTGCTGAGACCATTAAAGTAACTCCATGTAGGGTTACTATGGTGAGAGGCTATTAAATGAATTGCTGGAGGAAATAAATGAACCTTTCTGTCTCCCTGTAGGAAGAAGAGGGACAGTTAGACATAGAAGTGGCAACACAATGCGCTAGTCCACCCACCCAACAAGCTAGACGTTACCAGAAGCAGAAAGCTTCATGGTGCCAGCAGGGAAACAGCACCTCAGTATGCTTAGAGAGGTTGACTTTTACAATTTGGGTTGTCTGCAGAGTGTGGTCAAAGATGGTGCAATCAAGGTTGCACCTGGTTTTTATGAGTATCGCAGCATCACACACCATCTTGAATTTTTTGACCACACCTTGTGGACACCCCTGTTTACAGGGCTTCTAATTCAAGCTGCTCTTCATTGTGTTATGGCTTTACCACCACTTCCTAGGTCTTCTCAGAGAAAAAGGTAAGAGAACTGAAGAAACAAATGTTAGATCAAAGCAAAAGTAGAAACCCATTTTGCTTTAGGCTGCTTGCAGCCTTAATAAAACAAGGAAGAAATTCACACATGAGATCCGGTGTGCTGTGTCCAGCATCAAATCTGTGAATTCACAGATAGCTTGGGATGGTCCCCTTCAAGTCATCTTCAACCTTTGTGTCTCCTTGGACAAGCCATATAGTTTTCTTGGTGACCATCCATAAGTTGGTAGCCATTGCCATCTTCCTAGATGTTTTTTTAACTTCCCAGGCTAGCCTACAGCCTTGGGATTTTCTAGTGGTCTCCCATTCAAGTACTAACCAACTCTGACCCTGCTTCACACTACTTTGGTCATTTCCATACCCTTTTGCTGCTTCTATAGCTGTCAGCCTTGCAAGGAATCCAGACAAGAAGCACACCCAGAAGAACTAGCTCTACTTTATTGTAACGTTACATTAACTGAATCTAGCAAGTCTGAAAGTACATCTCTCCCCCTTCGCCTTTACAGTCCAAGAAACTAGGGAGGGTCTCTTCTGAGATGTTTGCCAGGCCCCCATTCCTTCTGCGGGCTCAGCGGCCTCTTATCCCACTGTTGCCCTGGCGGTGGCTCTTCCCCCTGTCTCCCAAGGTCATTCCCACATGTCATTCCAGTAGCAGACTAACTCTTCTAAGGGCTAGTTAAACCCCTCTGCTCCCAGCCTTGAATCAGCAGAAAACCATTCTCGTGTGTCATTTGTTATCCCCATTGTCGATCCTCCCCGGCCATGATTCCTCTCTTCCCCATGATGGCCAGTCTTCATGGCTTCCGACTTCCCCCCAAGACTACTGGTGACAAAGCCTAAAAGATCTGCCCCACCATGAGGCTGCCCTTGGATGGCGCTGGGGTCAGGGGAAGAACAGGGAAGGACCATGCATGGGCTGGGGAGGAAACCAAGGCAATGTTGGGGACCCAGAGAAAAAAAGAGGTTGCCCGGGGATGTTGGTGGAGAAAGGCTGTGAGTTAGCTTGCTCTTTGGATATTCTTAATTTTATTCTTAGGTAGAAGAGTAAGCAATTCAGTAATGAATACATTGGAGCAAATGCATACTTTCCCCAAAAGAAACCTTGAGGAAGTTTTTTATCTGCATACAAAGAATTTAATGGAAATTATTGATTGTCCACTGGTTAAGAAAAGCAAAGCCAGGCTAAACTTCCTTGACATCCCTGGGCTGGTTCTTACTATCTAACTGAAAATTGCCCTGGAAGGAACTGGTTATTCTCTTTTAGCAGAACAGGTGAACAGAATTGTCCTCATAAAAAAATCAGGGCTTTGAACCTGGATGTTTTTGCTTCCA